GCCTCCGGGGGCGCCGCCCCCTTGCTCACCGACGGCCGGATCAGTGGCGGCGGTCGCTTCAGCTTCTCGATGATCTCTGCGGAAACAAAAAAAAAAAAGGAACCCTGGGGTAAACCACTTCGGGCACGTCGTGTTTTGTAAGACTACGTCGATCAAGCAAGAACCACCCTGCTGTGGAACCCCCCGAGGTCTTCCGTGGCCTATAGGCCTACCACAGTACGAACGAACGTTCAAGTGACTATTTTTAAGGAAAAGAGCTTTCACTTTGGAATTGATAAAATTAATACTGATAAATAGGTTAAGTCGAATATATAACTTAATTCCAAATGGTGACAATGAAAGTTACAAGTTCTAACTTTAACTCTAAAAGTAACACAACAAAGCTCTGTTACGGAACCATGCCCTAGGAGGCTGCTTCCTTGAGAGGACACGCAAGTGTTTCAACTACACCAGCGGACTTCTGCATACACGAGAAAAAAAGCGCTCAAAAAAGTAATTTACCCATTCTGTCCCGTACGAATTGACCCATTTAGCCCCCAAAACGAAGTCGCTTGTCTGCTCCATGTGGTCGTTCCCCTCCCCCCGGAGCGCCCTCGCCTCGCTGTCCAGCGAGACGCACTAAGCTGCGTTGTGGCGGGCGCCATAATGAGTAAAGTTATGCGGCGCCACGGCCAGTCCGGTCACGTGCGGCGGCGGCCGCCGCCCAAACGGCCGGCCGGGCCCCGCCCCACCCGCACCCGGCGGAGCGCCCGGCGGCCCGGCGAGGCAGTCCCGCGCGGCGGCCGTACGCGGCGGGTCTGCCCACCCGGGCCACCGCAGGGGCTCCAGCCTCGGCTCCAGCCCGCTTACCCTCCGGCTTGAGCTGCAGGATGCAGAACGGCTCCCCGCGCAGCACCACCTCCTGCATCACGATGCTGAACGAGTACACGTCCCCGGGCTGCGTCCCCCGCCGGCGGAGGTTCTCGTCCCGGAGCAGCTCCGGCGCCGTCCAGAGCAGGTCTGGAGGAGAGGTCGCCGTCAGTCGAAACGCTCCAGCAGCGTACTACACGGCTCAGGGTTGGCGGCGCTCACCTCTCGCAGTCTGCGGCGCCGGCACCATGCCCTGCGTCTCGTAGAAGCTCGGCAGCCCGTAGTCGGTCACCTTGAGCACCCAGCGAGCGTCGATGACGCAGTTGCGCGACGTGAGGCGGCCGTGGACGCGCACCGGCGTCGAGTGCAGGTACTTCATGCCGCGGACCAGGTCCGTGAGCAGCGACAGGCGGAAGGACCAGTCCAGCTTGATCTCGTCCTGCACCAGCACGTCCTCCAGCGACCCGCGGCTGCACCACTCCATGACGAGCGAGGGCCGCACCGAGTCCAGCAGGCAGCCCAGCAGCGGGTTCAGGTTCTCGTGCCGCAGGCCGTGGAGCTATAAGGGCGGGGCAGAGACCATAGCGCGTGAGCGGCGGCGTCGCACAGCTTGAGGTAAAGAGAGACGCGCGTCTACGCTTACCGTCAGTAGGATGTCCATGGCCTTGGTCTTGAGCTCGAAGGTGCCCGAGGTGGGGAGCTCCTTGAGGTGGACCAAGTCTCCCTGCGCAAGACAATGCAGCAAGTCTGTGTACTCTGCGGGGGAGTTTGGCGAGGGGTGTGAGGCACTGAGTGATTCATTACGGAGGGGGGCGGGCGCTGCAACCCCCTCCTCCCCCCTCCCCCCACCACGCCCGTCCTCCTCCCCTTTACTAACCGCTCGGGACGGAGAATGCATCCCTTATTATGTGCGGGACAAATGGGCCGCTGTGCCCGGACCCTCCTCACCGTGTGGGTCGGCCGGCAACGCCCCCTCCGCCCTCCCCCTCCTCCTCCTTGTCCTCCTGCAGCGCCGGATCTCGCTAGGCGGCGTCACTGCGAGTTGCGAACACGCCCTGGTGGTCGGACGACGTTATTTACGATCGGATTACTCTGACCTCCTGCCCGTCCCGCCCCGGCAGGGCGGAGCTCGTCGGCGCAGTGGCCTCCTCCTCCTCGGCCGCCACGTCCCGCCCGTCTCAGCCCGGCCACAATCGTCTTGTTTGGGGAGCCGAGCACGGCGTGGGGGTCGGCCCCGCCGGGTAGGGCCCCGGTCGGTGCGGCCGCGCGGCAGGACGGCCCGGCCGAGGCCCGGCCTCCTAGGAGGCGGCTCAGCCTCCCTCCTTCCACTTGCACCCCTCCAGGACCCTGTCGGATGTGCGGCGTCCGTCTCCATCGTGGCGCGAACTAAAGAGGATTAATTAGACGGGCTAGCGGCGGCCGGGGCCGGGCCGGGGCCGGCCGGAGTAATGAACGACGAGCTTTTCTCTTTGCTGCGCTCGAGCGGGGCGGCCGAGTATTCACCAGGGTGAGTATTGCGGGCCGACTTTCTTCTCCCCCCCCCCTCCCCGCCTTTATCTCCAGCGGCAGACGGGACGAGGGAATCTAATTTCCTCTCCCTTTCTCTCGCCCCTCTCTCTCGGGTGGTCAATATAGCATAGGCGGTCTGTAAAAGCTGGCGGCTCGGTAGGAGGAGAGGGGCTGCGATGGAGGAGTGGAGGGGGGAGGGGGTCATGAAGGGCTGCAAAGCGGTGATTTATCGATGAGACCTCGTTGTCTCCGGCAAGCGGCACGTGCTCGCGCCGGCTAGCAATCCAATGAGAGGAGAGGGGGGGGGGGGGGGGTAGAACTAAATACGTAGCGCGGATAGGCCGAACACTCGTTCGCTCAACCCGGTCACGTTCTCCCCGCAGAACAACGGCATTCAAATGGGCGGGCTAATCTTTCTTTCGCGGAACGCATTTTCTTTGCCAATTATTTTAAACGAGGTCGGATAGAGGGAGGGTGAGAGAGAGAGAGAGAGGGAGGAGGGGCAGGGGTCAGGGGCGGTATAACTGTATGGGCATGAGATCTTACATTGTAGCGTGCTTTGGGGTCCACGATGATGTTGTTCGTGGCCCTGGCGAGCGACCCCGATGACCCGGGGCTCTTGCCTTGGCCTGGTGGCGGGTGCAGGGACTTGAGCGAGCCCACGGACCCTTTCAACAGGTCGGGCTTGTCCACCTCTGGGCCGCCAAACTCCTGCAGCTGCTGCAGCCAGCAGCACAGCATGGCCTCCATGCCCTCGTCCACCTGTGAACATTCACGATCAAGTGAGTACTCGACGCGAGGCCGCAGGAGTAGAGCTCTCCATGTTGTATGTCGTGGGAGCACTCACTCTTCGCGCGTCGGGCAGCTGAGGAAACACCAGGTCGCTAGGAGTGAGGAGAATCTTGCAAGGTCCCTTGGACATTCTCTTCCGCAGCAGCTGTTGCCTGGGAGAAGAAATAGCGTGTATTGAATGATACATTCAAAGCCTCGCGGTAAAAGAAATCAGTGATCTCGACGGCGCATGCATTACGTACCTGATGACGGTAGCCATCACCAGAACAACGAGCAGGACAAACGCGATGGCGGCGACCAGCACCGCCAACTGCACGCCCCCGCTGAATAAGTTCGAGTCGTCTTCTGCAAATGGCACACGCGTAAGAATGGTCAGCTCTAGCTAAAGCACCTCTGGTGCCGTCAGGTACCGTCAGGTACCGTCAGGTACCGTCAGGTACCGTCAGGTACCGTCAGGTACCGTCAGGTACCGTCAGGTTCACTCACCACAGCCAATGCCATCGTCATCGTCTGCGTCGCAGGCGCCTTCGATCGTGTGCAGCGCCGTGCCCGCGCTCAGGATGTTCTTCCAGCGCGGCCAGGCGCGGGGCGTGAGCGCGCGCACGCTGGTCTTGGACGCGTTCCTGGACACGGCGCCCCCGCCGACGCGCACCTCGAGCAGGGGCCGCCAGCGCGCGCCGCCCTCCGCCGAGGCGCCGTCGAGGGCCCCGGGCCCCGCCGGCCCCAGCACCCAGTCCAGCAGCACGAGCGTGGCCTCCCAGGTCGAGCTGCGGTTGAGGCGCGGCGCGGGCGCGGGCGCGGCCGGGGGCCCTGCCAGCAGGTCCCAGCTGCGCTGCAGGTAGTGCCACAGCTCCAGGTGCTCCTCCAGCCGCGGGCACGCCAGGTCGCGCTCGGGGCAGCCCTCAGAGTGCAGGAACGCGTCCTCCGCCCTCAGGTCCGGGTCCAGCGCGGTGAGGACCAGCATCCCGGACTGGGTCTCGGGGCGCCACGACGCGCTCGGCAGGAACATCGGCAGCAGCGAGCCGGACCTGCCGCGCCCCGACCTGCAACGGCAACACCACCGTGACCGTGGGCAACACGTTAGCTAGCTGCCCGGCGGACCACCACGCAGGAGGCCGCGGCGGCCGAGGTGCTCGGGCGACCGAGAGGTGGCGCCACCAGTTGCACCCGTCCCACCCCCTTACCCGGTCGGGCGGTGTGTGATGACGTACGCCGGCACGGAAGCAGACGCGGGCGTCGTGGTCCTCGCGCTTGCCGTCGAAGGCCCCGCCGCCGTCGCGGTCCTTGCCGACGGCGTCGTCCTGGAGCCGGGTTGCGTCGCGGACGTCACGATGGGTGGTGTAGAGGCCGTGTCTGCAATCGGATACGTGTGACGTGAGATGGTAACGGTATCGGGGCACCTGGCCAAAGCCTCAGTAGATAGGTATGCTCGAGTGGCGCAGTTCCCGCGCCGCGGTCGCCAAAAGTGCGTAAGCTCCGCCGCTGCTTACGCCCCCCTCCGCTTCTCGCCGCGGCTCTAATCTCGCTAATGACGGCCGCTCAGGCCCCCTCACTCAGGAGCGGGAAGCGAGGTTCTGGCCGCGATTCGACAACGAGCGAGAGCAGCTTTGTGTGCCAGGTGGCCCTTTCAGATGAAAAGCCCTCGAATCTTATTCACAAAACGTCGAGGTACTGATTTTTACTCGCGGGAAAAGCGGATAAGTAAGGGGAGACTTAAAAACTTTATCGAAGCGGGTGGCGAAGAAAACGAAGAGGTAAACGTAAGAGTCGTTAGGCAAGTCGTTAGCCCCAAGAAAAGAGTTCGCCAATAATAATAATAAATGTATTGTAAATGGGTGTGCAGCGTCCGTTCTGTTGAGTGACATATCTTTTACAGTTTTGTTTCGAGTTAAAGGAAAATGCGATCACACACGCTGTGTAGTTTGAGGCGTTTTCTTTTGAATGAAAATCACTGAATCGGACGTGACTTCCCAGTAAATCCACGCATTTCTTTCAGCTTGTTTTGCCAACTTACCGTTTCGCAAGGGTAGTCTGGAGGCCGGGGCTGCCGCTGGTGGTGCGGGCGACGGCGCTGCCGGCGCGTTGGGCGGCGAGGTTGGAGGGGCCGCCGGCGCGGGCCGCGAGGCCGGGTCGTGCGCCATGAAGGGCGTCGCCGAGGTCGGGTGCAGCGCGAGCAGCGCCGTGGAGGGCAGCCCGACCAGGGCCAGCCTGTCGGCGGCGCCCACCACGCGCGCCCACAGCGACGTGCGCATCGGCACGCACAGCACCACCACTGCGAACAGAACAGAACATGGGTGAGCTGAGTGGCGGGACTCCACCGTGTCGAGGAGGGCTAGGGAGCCTTGACAATGCCCCAATGGCCTGTATTCTAAAGAGTAATTAAAATTGTGGGTCGCGGCACCATGACTGATTTACCCGCGGGCTAGTGAAAAACATGAAAAGTGCCCCCCAAAAAAGGACAATCTAACACATTTAAGTCGGGGGGATGGACCGTTTCTTTGCGCCCGCCCAACCCGCCGGAGAATCCGTTGCTCCCGGAGCTGCGGGAAGAATGAGCGACCCTTCACGACCGCTCCAGGCCGCAGGACTATGAGCGAGGCTCCGGGGCCTGTCCCGAGACTGAGCCACTCTTGCGAGAAGGTATCGCAGCGGCGCTGTGTAATTCTAGTGATTTACACTTTTTGCCGCCACGCCCGGACCGGAAGGGCCGCGGGGCTCGCAGCAGCAGCAAGAGACGGAAAAGAAGGAAGCCCCGCCCCGCGTCGTCCTTCCCAAATTTAAACTCCCATTGTCGGGACAAAGTTTCGGTCGGTACCGCCCCGGGAATGTTTTTGTGGCCGGCGCGGCGCGCGGCGAGCTCGTGAGTGAAAGCGGCCAGCCAGCGCCACGAGGGAGCCGGGGGGAGTGGGGAGGGGCGGCATCAACTTAAACTTCGCTTTTCGCGGGTACCCTCTGTGTATATATATTGTGCGACGCGGTGGCAAACCGAAACAAAAACGCGCTGAATTGGTGGCGCCTTTTAACCTCGCCCCCACCCCCCACCC